TTCTTTTATTTTTCTTATATGTACCCATTTCATGTATTCACAACTATGTATACACTTATACTTATTATCTTGTAAACAATTGGCAAATCAAATAAATAAATAAAAATAAATAAATAAACACATCCAGGTTGCAAAATGACCACTTGATGGCAGTATGGGTAGGAACCGCTATATTTCTTCCAAGAGATCTAATGGCTAACTCTAATTTTACAGCCCAAATCTGGGATAAATAATCTATACAGAACTGCAGCAGGATTGCAAGAGATTGAAAACAGCAGTGAGAGAGGGGAAAATGAAGAACCGGAATAAGTCAACTCTCCTTAATCAGAGCTCTTAAAAAAAAAAGGGGGGGGGGTACTATAGAACAATGGCTTGGTTGAGCCTCTGCAGCTCACCCCAGCCTCGTAGAGAGGGTTGTTGAAATCAGATTCTACAGTGATGGGGCTGTAGCTGTGAGAGCTGGAAAAGGAGAAGCCAAAGAGAGTTTTTCCTTGGAATCTGCAGGAAAGTAAAAGAAGAAGAGAGTGGATTGAAACAATCAGCATTTACCAGTTTGGAAAATCAGATTCATTTTAATGGTACAGCTCCATGGATTGTATCTTACAGAAGTAACCCAGTGGAGGAGATTATATACTTTGCATTTGGATGGTTCAGAATTGGTCAACAGCATTTTCAAATGCAACGACCTTCTCTGAGGGAATTTGATAAACCAACTGTCTGATTGGCTATTAAGCAGCTTCCTATATTCTGTGCCCATCCAACATTTCAATCACATTTTCTTTTTTTAAAAAAGAAATTATTCAAGTTTATTATAAAATACAAAGAGAAACAAAGATAATGGGGGAAAGGAGGAAGGTAAAGAAAAGAAGGGAGTGTGAGGTAAAAGGTGGGGAAGCGACTTCCAACTTGTTTTGGTGCAGTAAAATACAAAATTTCAGTGACAATGTCCACATTTTTGCTTTACTTATTTAGTAAGTATCAGCCAAAAGTATCACAACAAAATTAATCTAACCATCAATCACATTTTTGTCCAGATGTTGACTTTATTTTATACCTGAGACCAAGGCCATTCAAAGAAACAAAACTGATAAACATTCAGTAGGATACTCTAGCTATGCTTAGTGGCAGGCATGGACAGGGGCTAATACTTTCTAGAATTCAGAGTTCCCCAACCTTTCCGGCTTTGTGGACCAGTGGGGGGATTTCCATGGCCTGATTCCGAACATCTCAAGCGCCAGGAGTGGGCCATGGCCTGGGAATTGAAGACCCTGTTCTTGAAGGTGTAAAACTTTAAACTTGCTGATTTGGCAGGATCAAAGCTCCTTCTGGCCATACATGGGGAGCTTTTATTATAACTTGATATATAAATGATCTTGGTCTTGAACTGATTATACAATTGCAGTATTAAGTCATTTTCCTCTCTTTTAAATGTATGTTGGGAAGGCATTATATATGGTTTTAATTAAAAGCAGTGAGGTATTCATATAAAACCAGATAACTCAAGTTCATGACTGGAAGGCATTTTTATGCTACAGTTTAAACTTAGAAACCGTGTGTGTGTGTGTCTGTGTGTGTGTGTCTGTGTGTAAAGGAAAAAACTGCTTTTCTGTGTAAAATGCATTTCCAATGTCACCAAGTAGACAAATTATTATAATTGTCTCCTTGCTCCTGGGAATTTGAACTGTGTAGGGTTTTCAGGTTAAAATATTTGAAATGGAATTAAATTCCAGTTCGCCTCTATTTACAATTAAACAACATCTCTGTCTTCCATAGTCACATTGTAGGGGAGATGGGCTAAATAACAGATATAATAAAACAAAACAAAACAAAACAAAAAATTAAATAAATAAATAATGCGACTTAACTGGAATCAACTCACAGAGTCTAATGGCACTTAGATGCCCACTGAGTAAAGCAAACAAAAATTAATTTGATATGACTCACTTCGTGTAGTAGATGTAGATGCCTCCAATTAGCAGGATGACGAGAATGATGGGGAGGAAGATTGCCAAGGCAATGTTGCCGCCTTCCATCTGGTGGGAAGGATCTGTGGTCTGGGTGACTACAAGAAGAAAGAAAAAGGTGGAATGTGGGAGGTGTGTGTATCAAACATTCCACTGAACTTTTTAGAATAGAATAGAATTCTTTTATTGGTCAAGTGTGAATGGACACACAAGGAATTTGTCTTGGTGCAAATGCTCTCAGTGTATATAAAAGAAAAGATACGTTCGTCAAGAGTCAAGAATCATCAGGTACAACGCTTAACAATAGCCATAGAGTACAATAAGCAATCAAATCATACTAGGAAACAGTCAATAAAAATTGTTAGGATACAAGCAGCAAGGTTACAGTCATACAGTCATAAGTGGGAGGAGATGGGTGAAAGGAAGGATGGGAGGATTAATAGTAATAGTAATGCAGACTTAGTAAATAATTAGACAGTGTTGAGGGAATTATTTGTTTAGTAGAGTGATGGCAGGAAAAAAACTATTCTTGTGTCTAGTTTTTCTGATATGCAGTGCTCTATAGCGTCGTTTTGAGGGTAGGAGAGTTGGAGTTATGTCCAGGGGTCTTGTAAATATTTTCACAGCCCTCTTTTTGACTCGTGTAGTATGCAACTTTTTATTTCATTTTATTTTTCAGAATCTATAGCCCACCCCAATCCCAAATGAACTAAAACAAAACCCAAAAGTATAACAATAAGGAAATTAGAATATGTCAAAGACAGCCACAAAAAAACAAACAAAGATAACTTGTGAAATAAAATCCAAAATAGGTGCCCACAGCTGGGTTTGAAAGGTCATTAAAAAGAAATGGGTGTAACCTGTTTCTAGAATTACAGCAAGGTGGAAGTTGCATGTATTTCTTGGGAGAGAATATTCCATAGGATGGGAGCTACTACAGAGAAAACCAGATATGTCCGTCCCCCCTCGGGGTCTTTGAGAGGGGAAGGACTCCAGGCCTCCTCTGAATGAAGGGATGAGATGGGCAGATTACATTCAGACAAGGCATGGATTGAAGTATCCTGCACCATTTTAGAGCTTCAAGTGTAGTGACCAGCACGTTGAATTGGATCTGCAGGTCTATTGGCAACCAATGCAGTCACTGTACTATAAGTGCAATTCTATACTGGTGAGTTGTGTTGGCAAAAATCTTTCTGTTGCATTTTGTACCAGCTGCACCTTCTGGATTGTCTCCAAAGACAGCCCCATTTAGAGCACACTGCAATAGTCCTATCAATTGGACATAAGTCATGAGTTTACTGAGGTCTGGTACAGGGTCTGGCACACCTGGTCCCCTTAGCTACGACTTCCACCTGCTGTTTGAGCAGAAGAGAGGGAGGGAGGGAGGGAGGATGATAATGATAAAGACTAGAAAACCTAGAACTACGCCGCCTTCGGTCCGATCTAAGTATAGGATATAAAATCATACATTGCAATGTCCTACCTGCAAATGAATACTTCAGCTTCAACCATAACAATACAAGAGCACACAATAGATACAGACTCAAGGTTAACCGCACCAAACTTGACTACAGAAAATACGACTTCAGCAACAGAGTGGTCAATGTCTGGAATACTCTACCTGACTCTGTGGTTTCTTCCCCAAACTCCAAAAACTTCAACTTTAGACTTTCTACTATTGACCTCACCCCTTTCCTAAGAGGTCTGTAGGGGGCATGCATAAGCGCACCAATGTGCCTACCATCCCTGTCCTATTGTTTCTTTTTATTTTTCTTATATGTACCCATTTCATGTATTCATAACTATGTTTATACTTACACCTGTTATCTTATAATCACTTGACAAAATAAAATAAATAAAAAATAAAATAAAAAATCACAATGCTTGTCATCCTCCCAGAATCCCTTCCCAAGCTTCTTCCCACTCACCTTCCAGTTTCCGGTCATCCAATAACTCCTCATAGGCCACTGGTGGAGAGAAAGAGACCATTTAAAGAAAAATGTCAGGCAAACAAAGCAGAGGGTCACAAAACAGCGAGTGAGAGCCATATTCGATGGGGAAAGGGACCCCATACCTTTGCAGAGGGGTGGCTGGCTGGTCCATTGGGATGGATGTCCTGGTATGCAGGTGATTGTCACTTCTCCTATAAGCTCAAAGCCCTCATAGCAGAAGAAGCGCAGAGACTCTCCTGCTTGGTAGTGATGCTTGTAAAGAGTTTGGTACCCGTTCTCTGGAACACCGGGGTTCAGGCAAGGCTCATATTTCACTGGAAAAAGGAAATGGGGCCACAAAGAGTTTCAGGAAACACATTTGGCCCTGAGGCCACAGGTTGACTATCACTGATAGAGGAGACAGTAGAAGCCAGACCTGGGCATTTTATGCCCCCCGGGTCACATCCAGCCCTTTGGCTGTCCCTGTATGGCCCATGTGAGGTCAATCAGAAATTAGAAATCAAATGTAAATAAGATATAACCTGTATTCTTACCAGTATGGCTAATCAAAATTGTTCTTTCCTGCTTTTTTTTATAAAGCAATAAAATTAATATTGAGCAGAATTAAATTCAGTCTATTGTCTGTGCAAGAGGCAACTTTTTTCAAGAGGCAACTGGACTTTCTTGTTTTTCTTTGAAGACGTTTTGCTTCTCATCCAAGAAGCTTCTTCAGCTCTGACTGGATGGTGGGGAATGGAAGATCGTCCTGAAAAGCTTGAGATCTTCAACCAACACAACATCCCTTCATGCTTTTAACCCAAGAATACACTAAGGCAGAAGCTTGTCCACCGCAACGATAAAACACCCAGACACAAACTGAGCCACCTGCAGTACCATGCCATGAGACATGTGCAGATCTGTACATTGGTGAAGCAAAACAACCACTTCCTAAATGCATGGCACAACATAGGAGAACAAACCCATCAGGAACATGATTCAGTAGTTCATCTGCATTTAATAGCAATAGCACTTGGATTTACAGTATGCACTGCTTCACGGCGCTTGTAAGCGGTTTACAGAGTCAGCCTATTGCCACCAACAATCTGCGTCCTCGTCTTACCGACCTTGGAAGGATGAAAGGCTGAGTCAACCTTGAGCTGCTCACAATTGAACTCCAGGAGTGAGCAGTATTGAATTCTAATGTGACTGTGTCACGACTCTCTTAAAAGACAGTGGTCCACATTTTGGACAGAAAGGACCACTGGTTTGAAAGAGGGGTCAAAGGGGCCATCTATGCCAAAATTAAACAGCCCTCTCTCAGCAGAAGAGGAAGGGTGCGATGTCCTCTATTTCCAATCTACACCACCGTCCTTTCAGCACTTCTAAGAAAGGCGCCTCCACATCCATTTGCATCACTCAGGTGATCCTGATGATACAGATAAAATCCAGGTGGCCTTAACGACTGACTCGCTCACTAAAAGAATGCAAATGCCTGGCTGTTTGCAAGGAGTATAAATCCTTCCATTCCCCACCATCCAGTCAGAGCTGAAGAAGCTTCTTGGATGAGAAGCGAAACGTCTGACAGTATTGACATGTCTTTAAGTAGGGATGTGATTCAGGAGCTTAAAAGTGTTTTTATGCTGCTCAGGTCTTGGCAAGCTTGTTCTACGGGATCAGTGATATATTTCCTGCTTCTGATATCCTTAGAGAAAAGGGCATAGTTTCCCTTCCTATTTAAACACATAAAAAATATACTGAAGTGAACGAGCCTTATATTAATTAGAGGATCACACCAAGAAAATCCAATACAGGTAGTCCTCAACTTATGACTGTCATGGAGCCCGGCCATCATGGTTGCAAGTGATAATGGTCATAAAACATACCAGTCAAATAACCAACCCAATTTTACCACCTTTTTGTGGTGGTCGTTAAGTGAGCATTGCGGTCATTAAATGAACCAAAGGCTTATAATGAATGAAGTTTTGCCAGAAACCAAAAGTTAGTGTTGATGTTTGAGAAAACTATCTTAAAATGTGTCAGGGTAATGATGATTTAATAGCTGACCAGCTGCTGTAATGTTGTAATACTGTAGTGTTGTACTGATGATGCAATGGTTGCAATGAGTCAGCAGGGATATTTGACTGCTACCACTTTAAGAGGCTGTAATATAAGAGAGACCTGTGAGGGCGTATCTCTCTCTCTCCATGTATGCTTCCATGGTGTAGCTGGTTACTGATTGCTGTTTGTTCAAGGCCTGAATCAAAGCACTTGTATGTATATATGCTTTGTAGGGATAAAACCACTATATGTAAATACAAACCTCTTTGTACTGCATTTGCTCCTGGATTGTCTCACCTAGTCACACTGTGCACACTCTAACAAAATGCAATGATGTGACTGCAGGATATGCAAATGGCTGTAAATGTAGCCATGCTGCTGAGCCCCCAAAGTTTCATCATGTGATGGGGGGAGGGGCTATCAGAACTTCAATCCAGGTTGTAAATAGCCCCAAGATAGCTTCACCATAACTTTGAACAGTTGCTAAGTGACCACTCATAAGTTGAAACCTCCCTATAGCCAATCAGACCAGCTAAACTCTTGTCAAAATGTACAGTCCTGTACTTTGCTGCTTTAAAGACCCTCCCAGTTCTTCTCAGTCCTTCTCTCCCTCCCCTCCATTTGCCTTTTCCTTCCCCTGCTTTTACTTACAGACACACTTGGGTACTCGGTCGCTCCATTTAGGGGTGCCCGTATCCCGGTTGTAGCAGGTGAGTGTGTTGCTCCCTTCCACTACGTAGCCCTCATGACAGAAGTACTGGACATGAGAGCCAATGGAGAAATGTCGGTCTGAGACGCTCCGTTTCCCGTTGCTAATCTCTCCAGGATCAGCACAATTTATAACTTGGGGAAAGAAAAGGTGTAATTAAGTGTGAGAAGGGGCCACTGTACTTCCCTCTGGTTCTCAGTTCAGGAATCATATCTGACTATGTGAGTGCCATTCTACTCCTGGAATGTTTCAACTTTCCTTCTGAAGTGACGCAAAGACTCTACAAATGATGGACCAAAAGCTCTATTAGAAAATCCAAAATGGTGCATCAAAGTTTTCCATAGTCCACGCTGATGTTTATTTATTTATTTTAGTTATAAATAAGTGTATATACCCACCCAACTCACATATAGGCGACTCTGGGCAGCTTACAAAACTAAGAAACCCTACCCTATAATAAAACCTATTAAAAGAAAAGCCTACACCTCACCAGTGGTGGTACTCTACCGGTTCAGATGCCGGTAGCATTGATGAGTAGCGAAGACCGAACCGGTTCTATTCACCACTCTTTGCTGTTGGGCCCACCCGCCCATCTGGGCTCCCATATTCACCTTTATTTCCTGCTTTTGCAGTGCAGCTGCTTTGCACGGTACATCAGAGTACTGTGCAGCAGCTGCTGAAGCGACAGGGAGAGCGCAAGATTGCAGGAGGTGAATTGGTAGGTGCACCTGCGCAAAGTGCGCATTTGGCGCGCCCACCAAGCCACGCCCACTGAACCGGTGATAAAAATCTTTGAATCCTACCACTGCACCCCACCCCATCTCTCATGGCAGCAACCTGGGTGAAACCCCACCCCCGGAAGAATAAAATAGTTTGTAGAATATTAAAAGAGGCAGAATATTGTATTTCCCCAAAGTAGAAATGGAGAAAAATCTTAACAAAGATATTTGCCCCAACAGCCTCCAGCAGATACCTGAAGTCTTTAACAGATGGATATTTTGTGAGCCCAAAATATTGGCCCAAAAAGACTGGGCCAATCTATTCACATATAAAACACCTTCCAAGATTGGTGGGGTTAAGGACAGGACATAATCTATCATGTCCTACATAGGATTAACCCACCACCAATCAAATAATAAAAGCACACAAACAAACCTCAAAATTAAAAAAATATTGCAAACTATATAAAAATCCTTGCATTCATCAAGGTAATTTGTCAGCTGTCCCAGAACTGCATGCTGTTGTTGGTTTTGCTCATCATGAAACAAGAGTCCTTCTTTCCAATCAGCCCCCATTTTATTCCCAGCGCCTTTCTCCTAGCTTGGAACCAGACCGGATTTTTCTTCCAACAAACCCAGGATTCATAATGCTTTTTATGTCCAAAATGTTCTTCCTTCAACAATATTTTGTCTATTCCCCACCGCCCCACACAATAGGCTCTACATAGCTGGCAACACAAAAACTGAGAATCACACAGATTCAAGAAAGGCATTTTTAATGCTAGTTGGTATAATGTTAATTATGATAACAACAACCTAATCTTGAAAAATGAAAAAAGTAAGCTTCTAGTCAAAGTGGAAGCTCACTCTGAAGGTTGTCTTCCCACAGCCCCCACTTCTGGGTTGTGTGTCTCTCCCCATGCCCACTAAACTCCTCCCCTTTTTGCACCTGTCTCCCATGGTCTTTCACACTTCCTTCTTCGTGCTTAGATAAATCCTAATGTGGAGTATCCTTACCACCTATTTTAGCATCAGGAAGACTTACTCTTCTGGCAAGTAGGTGGGCTGTTGCTCCATGATAGATCCCACTGGCAGGTGAGAATGTCGGAGCCCACAATGTCATAGCCTGGCTCACATTGGTAGGTTACGACTGTGCCACGGATAACAGCGGTATGAGAAGCTGTGCACCAACCAAACTCCACCTCTGGCAGCTCGGGACAAGTGTCATTTTGTGGAACCTCTGTGAAGAGAGGAGAGAAGGGGAGGGGGGAGGGGAGAGAGGAGGGGAGGGCAGGGGAGGATAGGATGTAAGGACTACATTCTGCCAGGCACTGTCCTGTCTAATATAGAAGATAATATTTGTAGTTCAAAGTTGAACTGTGGGGCCTTTTTGTTACTCTCTGAACTTGTCTGTTTTCTTCCAGGTATTTCATTACCAAACTAAGTAACCTCATTAGTGTACTGTCCTATCTCTCCTCACCAAATTTCATTTCTGTTTTCCCACTTTTCCATTTCATGTCAGGAGTTCGTCTCTGTAAGCAACTCATACAATCGAATTGTTAGAAAGGACCAACAGCCCTGCTCAGAAATCCAAATTAAAGGCTCCCCAACTAACACCCAGTTGCACGGTTACAAGAATACTCCTATGACACACACTCTGTGTTTAAACTTTATACTGTCCTTCAGAATGGCATTTAAGCAACACTTCTGTCCCTTTTCTTCTTCTTCAATCTATTGCTGCTAAAATTACAACTGGGCAAAAATATCACAGCTGTATTTGAGCGCTTTCCTTTTCCTTCTTCTGTTTCTGATCTGAAACAAATGCATCATACAAACGTTCCCATCCATTCTCAGCCCAAGAAGCTTCTGGAAATCTTTTTGAAGATAGGATAACTTCTTAAACCATCTTCATAGGATGTGTCAGCAGGCATCATTTTACACCAACTTTTCTCTCTCTCTCTCTCCCTCCCCCTCCCTCTCTTTCTCCCTCCCTCTCCCTCCCTCTCTCTTTTTCTCCATCCCTCTCTCTTTCTCTCCCTCTCCCTCTCTCCCCTCCCTCTCCCTCCCTGTCCCTGTCCCTCTCTCTCTTTCTCTCTCCCACTTTCCCTCTCTCACCTCCCTCTCTCCCTCTCTCTTTCTCTCTCTCCCTCTTTCTCTTTCCTTTCCCTCTCTCCTTCTCTCCCTCTCTCATTTTCTCTCTCCCTCCCCCCCCCCCGCTCCCTCTCTTTCTCTCTCCCTTCCTCCCTCTCTCCCTCCTTCCCTCTCTCTCTCCCTCCCCCTGTTTTCCCCAAGCATATCAATCATAGCCTTTTCTCATACCCTTATAGCGCACCAGGAACCCCTGGCTGAGACCGAAAAGTGGGTCACCCGGGTCTGACTGGAACTGCAGGGTGACTGCTGGGCCTGAAGAATAAATGCTGAACCGAGGATGGGGACCAAGGTACTGGCCGAGGATCCGGGCAGTTAAGTCTCCTCCATCGAAAACAGTCAACACATCAGATTTGCGGATGTTGAGGCTAGCAGGGGAATTGGGAAGAAGGAGAAGACAAAGAGGAAGGACTGTTGAAAGAGGAAAAGGAAAGTGAAGGAGTCCACAACCTATTTTTGTTATTTCATGCATCCAAAGTGAAGGGCAAGTGAGTGCCGAGACTCAAGCATGGATGGGAAGCATGGAGTTTTCTTCAACCAGTAAGTAAAATTGGAACCTCTAAGTGGAAAAAAGTATTAATATAGAGGTCAAGCTGAGTCCACTCCAAGATGATTCTGAATTAGTGGATCTTTGGATCTAAAAGGATCCCCAGAAGAGGAACAGATGTCAATAATATTAGAAGGTAGATGCATTGGCTTGCACTTTTCTTTCATGCGTATGATATACATTAAAAAGAAATGATTTCAATTGCCTGTCACATCCTCCATTCTGACACTGTGGTGGAATGTAGACTGGAGTCCCAGGATGGAATCCAGACTACATTCCACTACAGTCTCAGAATGGGCTGTGAGGGAATGTCAGGGATGACATAGAAGGGGGGAGCTGCCTCCCTGAGGGCAAAAAGGCAGCGCAGCTTATAATATCTGGTGGGCAAGAAGAGGGAAAGGATGGTCCCTCTCTAGCAGTTTGCAGAGTATATCTGTAGTTATCTATATATCTGTAGTTATGCAGATAGTTGCTTTAGTCTGGAAAATTTTGTCTGTAGGTGAACAACAATGAAGAAACTACTTGGAAGTAATTCCCTGTGTTGTTCTTCACACACACAGACACATTCACCATTGTAGATGCCTGCTATTTTGACGTCACATATGCAAGCTTTCTTTTCAGGCTTCAAGATCTCCTACATCAATTGCTGTATTAACTTTAATAAGTGGATTTCTTAAAGCAGCAACAAGCAGTTTTTTTTTCAGGCCTAGTCTTTATTAAGGTTCAATGTAACTTGTAAGATCATTTTCACGAACCATATGTTTTGGAAAACGGAAGAGCATTTTCATAATCTCACTTTATTGAAAACATGATGGGAATCATACTCAGAGCATCTAAGAGGAAGTGTTTCTGTTTAATCATTGGACAGAGACTGGTCACACTGATAGACAATCTTCCTCTGGATGATCTATTGCCCCCTCCTAGTCCTATTACATTTTTTCATTGACATTTAAGTGCCATCAGCCATGGTATCTTCTCAACTATCTGAAAGGGTTGAAGGTTAGAGTGCTACTTTGCTGTGGATCTCCTCCAACCTGAATGAAGAGTTTTAGCCAGTAGTTATGTGGGAAACACCATTAAGCCTGTAGTCACCACAGGCACAGCCAGTGATATTAGAGAAATCTGGATCAGGGTAAGCAGCCATACTGGATTGTATGGAGAAAAACAAGTTCAGACAAAACCATGCTAAGATGTGTGCTCTTCGTGTGTAAATATCTTGGCTTCTTGGAAACATAAATTCTGCTGGCTGGTTTTTCTAGATAGGACTGTGCTCCCTCTCCCCATCCTTGGGGGATCCTCTTGGATACAAAGCTCTGTTTGAACATGTTCAGTTGGTGTACCAGATAGGCTCCTACTTGGACAAGGAAACCTTAGCCAAAGCAACCTCCTATCACCTGACCATATTCCTATAATGGAGGACTGCTTTTGAAGACAACTCGGAAACTGCAAGTGGTATACTACCTAGATTCTGAAGATTGTTGAGGGATAACAAACAAATACATTATATCTAGTGCCTAACCACATGTAAATGCATAAAATTCTTCAGGGTTTTAAAGAAATATTGCCATACTGATGTTACTGTGATTTGCAGAGAACTTTCTAACTCTTGAGTGTATATCTCTTGACTTAACAGCTCTCTAGAATGATTCTGTTGTTATATGGTTGTGGACACATGTATGGATTCAGTTTGTTGCTTTGGACAAGCTTTCTTGTGCTTCTAAATTTTTAAAATCATTGAGAGGGAAATGATTCTAAAACGGGACTTAAATAATCCCTTCCTTCTGTTCTGGGCCATCTATTGTCACTTTAGCCCAACTTTGACAGATCTATGCAAGAGAAAATAGTTAAGTCTAACAGCATAAATACTAGATTAAACATAGCCCTCTCTTTTTTGCACCGAAGATTTAAAATGTTTCACCATCTAGATGCTTCCTTCCATAAATATAAGGAACTTGTTGTATCATTCTGGTTGATGACCTCTAAGTAGGAACCCTATTTGTCACAGCAGATGATCTTCAAAGTACATAGACATCTTTCCATGAATCGATGGAATGAATGATTTCAACAATCAATCTAATGATGGAAGATGGTTTCAGGGACCATGCGGACACAGCGGTTTGGTTGAGTTGGGAGGCCTCCCTCAAGAAAATGGAATGGTATTGATGGTGGCAGTAGCAGAAGTACCTACATCTCAATGTCTAGCAGCACCCTCTTCTCCTCCTGCACCCGGATGCCCCATACGCAGTCTTGACCTTTTCCATAAGACTGGGGCCAGTCAGGAGAAAGTACAACACCTGTTGGCTCAGAGAGCTCCCCACCACACAATGCTGGAGAGAAAAGATGCATAATCAGGAGAAGGCTATAGCTTGAATGAAGCAGTGCACCTACTCAATCAGTTTAAACCAATTTCTTTTGGTACTAATAAAGGAGAATATTTGTAGTTTGGGGTTAAATGAGGGGTCCTTGGTGCTCTCTGAGCTTGGTTATTTTCTTGCAGATGTTTCATTACCCAAACTAGGTACAGTGGTACCTTGGTACTCAACTGCTTTGAAACACATCCAATTTGGTACTCAATGCATTATGGAATGAAAAATTTGTTTGGTACACAACGCACAAGCTAGAACTCATCGATGCCGGTTGCCTTATGATTGTCTTCATTATTCCGTATGGGAAAAATTCATTTAGTACTCATTGTGCCTCCTGGAACCAATTAACAATAAGTACTAAGGTACCACTCTAACACCATCCGAGCTCTGCTGATGTAACCTAGTTTGGGTAATGAAACGTCTGCAAGGAAACAACGAAGCTCAGAGAGCACCACTTTCTTTTGGATTATGAAAAAAGCAATAAGGGAAGACAAATTGAACAGTCCCTTCACCTCCTGACCCTCCCCCAGACACACACTGTGCTCTGCCCTAGAATTCAAGAGAGATAAAATGTGCCTCTCAGCAAAGATAGTGACAGCCATCTTTCTTCATCTCTGCGTTGTAATGCTTTCTGATTCTCCTCTTTCCCTCTTCCTGTGACTCTATCAAAATAACCCAATAATCAAATATGAAAATTGGATTGTAGGTCATGACACCAACTAGCTGTGAAAAAATGTTACTGCAGGGGTAAGGAAGAGAATATTGGAGTTACCATGACATTTCTTTTCTACAGAGATGGAGGGTATATTGAAAACTGGATAGTTCTTTCGACTTGCTCCAAAAAGCAGGACTAAAAGATTATAGCAATAAAGATATCCCGCCCTTCCACTTAAGGGAGTGAACAGGATCTCCAGAGAAAATGCAAAAGACAAAACGGATAGAATAAGAAAGACAAGGAAGTAAAGGCAGGGGTGGGATTCTACTGGTTTGGACCGGTTCAGTAGAATTGGTTGTTACGATTCTGCACGATTTTGGAGAACCGGCAAATCGTGCCCCTGGCCGGCCCCGCCCTTCTCCGCCCAACCCCCCCCCCCCCCGCCCAGTCAGTCCTTATCATGCCTGCACGACATTGCTGACTGCATTCTCTCCCGCCCCATATCCTTACCATATTTCTTTCTTTTTTTCCTCCCAACGATCAGCTGTTCCAACGATCAGCTGTGCTGGGATCTCTCTCGCTGTCTTACTGTTTCACCCAGGACGCTTCCCTGAGGCCCAGGAGGCAAAAAGGGGCGCACGGGGGGTGCTGCATGTCCCCCCCCCCGTGCTCCATTTTTTTGCCTTTGGGGCCTCAGGGAAGCCTCCTGGGAGCAAAAACAGCCTCCCAGGAGGCTTCCCTGAGGCCCAGGAAACAACAAAAAAGGAGCGTGAGGGTTCTGCAAAAAAGAAGCCACGCCTACCCAGTCACATGGCCACTCTCACCTAGCCACTCCCACAGAACCGGTAATAAAAATATTTGCATCCCACCCCTGAGTAAAGGATATCTTCAATCTACAGTAGAGAAGGGGACTCTCAACGTTTCATTTTCTTTCACTGGAATAGAGTAACCTGAAAACTGGGACATACGTAAAAATAAGTTACTGGGAGGATTGGGGATACAATTCTCCTCTTCCCCTCTTCCTGTGACTCTAGGACTTGCAGAATTATTTTGACAATATAGGAAAAAGAAATCCATGTTTGTAGGTCTGCATAGGGAACTCAAAAGAGCCACAAAACAAAGGCCTAAAAACGAAATCCAGTCACTTGGCCCACAGAACAGAAATATGTCAAGAAATATCTTGACAGAAGAACCTACCTCTGCCCCATGATGAAAGTCAAATGAAAGTCAACTAAGCCAATTTAAGAGATAAAACACTGCGACGTTGATTCGTATCTCCTGCCAAATCCCATATAAATCACTGGGATTCTTCCAAGTTTGTACTTCTAATTCAGAAGACTGGGATGAATGTCAAATATGGTTGTGAAGAAAAGAAATGGCAAATTTATAATGCATTTCCACAGATCAGCCCCTGGCAATTCAGTCTAACTCTTGTGAGCTCCCCATAAGGAAAACGGTATTTAAATGTCTTGAAAATGAAGACAGTGGAGGGGAGTTGATGTTTTCTGAACATGAGATTGAGAAGGTTGTATCATTCTCTCATCCCAATCAAATCTGATGTAGTGACTAGACATTGAGAAGTTCCCCTTTTCCTTCCACTAGATTGAGGAAGGCCCGTATCCCCTCTTGCAAGTGGAAGTGAATGCTTCATTTTCTGACCCTCATAATGGCAAGAGTTGAGGTGCTGGGCTGAGGCATAACGGCACTGTATCGAACGAGCATCACATGGGAAGGCCTCCAATGATGGACATCAAAACCCAGCAATGGTTGCCTGCTGTGTCCAAATCCAGAATTCCTCGACTGAAGTGCTCTCAGGATGGGTGATAGGGGGAATCAGCTGCCTACTCGTGCCAGGCTCTACCTAGTCCTAGTTCCTCAGCTTCCTAAGGAGAGAATGTGGACCTTCCAGAGGCATGTGGCTCATAGCTGGAACTGTAATGGAGGGAAGAAGATCTCCCTTCCTGAAGAGTCACGCCTCCTCCCAGTGTCCACTTGTTCCTCGGCCATTAAAGAAAAGACCTGAACTGGAATTAGCAGAAAGGTAACGTGGAAAGACAAATGGTGTTGTTTCTCATTCTAGGAATTTCTAGAAATATTTCAGTCCTGCCTACTGGAGCAAGTAGAAGGTGGAACCTAGCCATTCTTTCTGACACTGCTGGAGTTCAACAATACCTGAAGGATCTGCTCTATTGGGGTGGGGGGAGGCAAAGGGGCATTACATTAGGGTACATTCCTAGCTGTTTATTTGTAAATCATTCTAATTTCTTTCAAAAGGTTACAGCTGAGTCCATAGGGTGGGAACTGAAGGATCTGGCCATATTACCTTAGACTTAAAGTATTTTTATATTTCTGGATTAAAATAATAGCGGCCTCACAAAACGTGGGAGGAGAATGTTACAGAACTGTGTTGTGAAAACCACCAAAATGAAGTCAGGTGACCTAATCACCCCTGACCCCCTAGGGCAGGGGTCTCCAAACCTGGCAACTTTAAGACTTGTGGATTTCAACTCCCAGAACTCCTCAGAGAGCCATGCCCTGGGGGTTAAATTTAGTCATAAACAAAGCCAGGCACTCAGAATTAAACTAACTCCATTCAGAGTTGTGTTGTGAGAACACTTTAAGTCCAATCGTCTAGCCTGGTTTGCATCTCTAGTCCTCCAAAGAGAGAGAGGAGAGGAAGAGGGAGGGAGGGGAGAGAGGGATGGAGAGGGAGAGGGAGGGAAGGAGGGAGGGAGGGGAAGAGAGAGAGAGAGAGAGAGAAACCACCTTCCCATACTCAGTCAAGGTCTCAGAATATACTTTCAAAACACTATTGTAATTAAGCTGCATCGACTTCTGATCAATGATGAAGGGGATAGTGAGATCATTTAGCCTCCGCGGTAGTTTCCTGATACAGGATATCAGCCCCTTTTTAAAGGAAAGAAGTGGGGCTCTAGTAACTCTATAACCCAGTTTATGTGACTGCCTGCTTCCAGAACCATTCGGCCCTAAGCAAATAAGCTTTCTAGAATCTAGATCATGCACTGTTCTTGCTTCTAAAATGGCGTTTTTAGAACTGCACCTGTCCCATTTTAATTTCCAGACTTTGTACAGATCACACTCTGCCGCAACTCTCCTCTCCTTCCAATCACGTTGGCTGTTCTGTCCCTGCTCCAATTTGCTTAGCTGTGCAAACACGTGCCTGAATTCGTAAAAACCCAGGGCATGGCAGTAATTTGCTCAGGCCTGTTGTGCCCCATCAGCACGTACCATTACTCTTTCAGGCAGCAAGGCAGAAACACAAAAGAGCAATCAAGAAGAAAAGGCATTAAGCATCAGGCTCCGGAAGAAAATTGAGCCGGAGAGTTTGAGATGAAGAATGATTACCTTTGCAGGTGGGCTCACTTTCGTTCCAGCGGGGGTCTTGTGAATCAATGCATTCAATGGCCGAAGGACCCTGCTCAAGCATGTATCCTGCACTGCAAGCAAACTCTACAATGGTCCCTGTACGATACAGAGGGTCTGATGTGCTGAAATTTCCATGGGCCAGGTAGGGTTCGTAACATCGATCTTCATCAAAAGCTGCCACCAGGGGGAGCAAAAAAGTCAGAAAACTGCCCCTATAAAGGTTATAGCTTCTGATCTCCCCCATTGCAATAAACTAAAGTATTACAGTACTAGCTCCTTTAAGATGGGGTCATCTTTTTTTGACCTGGTATATATTGCAGATTCAACTACTGCATTACCACATCTTGGTCAAATCACAAGAAGAAGGCAGTCAAGTCAAATCAAATTGCACCTATTTCCTTGTCTAAAGTTTTGTATCCATTCAGCAACCTTCTATGTCTGATCACTTTTTTCCTGCCGACGTTTCTCTTTTCTCAACTTTATCATGTTTCTTCCTTCAATATTTAGATGATCGGAAGAGAAACCAGCCCTAAGTATTGACCCACTGCTCCTTCTGATAACAATCTGTTTCTTCTATTTCTCAATCTAAGCAATTTGAGGATGTATGGACTTCAACTTCCAGCCAGCTTAGCCATTAGGAACTGTAAGAATGTTCTTTCTTAAATTTAAACAGAATCTATCCAGCTACAACTTATTATTTCTGGTCCTAGTTTCTTTGACCAAGTTTTGGATCATCTTCCACAGTCTTCTTTTCTGCACACTTAACTTCCCAATTCCTTTAGCCTACTCTTGAAGGAATGTGCTAAAGTCCTGAATCAATGTTACTCATTTCTCCCTCAAGCTACCACCAGCTTTTCTCTCTGATGACTTCTTCCCTGCCTCTGACATTCTGTTGAAGTTCCTATCTTTCCCATTCTTCACCCTTCCTCTTGTAGCCTTTCTTGTGGATTCTTTGCTTCTTCACTTTTATATGTCTCAACCCCATTTTTTGTCCTAACCACACTGAAAACTTCTCTTTTCTTTACAGAATCTGGAATAGAATAGAATTCTTTTATTGGCCAAGTGTGATTGGACACACAAGGAATTTGTCTTGGTGCAAATGCTCTCAGTGTACATAAAAGAAAAGAGTCAAGAATCATAAGGTACAACGCTTAACAATAGCCATAGAGTACAAATAAGCAATCAAATCATACTAGGAAAATGGTGTTCTTGGGAAAAAAAACACCTGTCCTTGTGTCTAGTTGTTCTGGTGTGCAGGGCTCTATAGTGTCGTTTTGAGGGTAGGAGTTGAAACAGTTTATGTCCAGGATGTGAGGGGTCTGTAAATATTTTCACAGTCCTCTTTTTGACTCGTGCAGTATACAGGTCCTCGACTGAAGGCAGGTTGGTAGTAATTGTTTTTTCTGCAGTCCTAATTACTCTCTGAAGTCTGTGTCTGTCTTGTTGGATTGCAGAACCAAACCAGACAGTTATAGAGGTGCAGATGACAGACTCAATAAATGAATGAAAGCAATGAGTTCCCAGAACTGTTATGCCTTCTGTAGCACCACAACAGTTTAACCTATTAGTGGCATGAGGCCTCATTGCTGCACCGTAGTAATTTATCCAACCCTAAATGACAAAGCAGAATTTTGTTTTACTAAAATAAGTTTCCAACACTTAGCTCGCAATATTGCATATCGTCATGCTTGTTTGATTTGATGACTTCCCAAAGTTACCAATAGCCAACTGTCAGAATCTACTGCCAGGAGAGATTCTGCCAAAACAGAATCACGGTTTTCTCACCTCTACTGTTTTTGAGCAGGTAAAATGTGGGGAAGGGAAGAAAAGACTGAGTTCTCACCTTCGTAGCGAAGGCTAAGGATGAGGGGCGTAGCAGGTCCCTCGCTGATCAATTCAACAATGAGAGACTGAGCATCACTTAGCAATCCCCGTTCTGGGACATCATCCATGTCAGAATCATAAATGATAGGGGAGAAAGTGCTACTCCCACTGCGGATCATCAGCCTGGGAAGGGGAAAGGATTTTTGGGTAAGCAGATCTCCCCAACCCCGGGTACATGACATACTGTGTGTCAACGAATTATGAGTAAACCTTGAGAAAGATATGAGTAGACCGTAATGGATTCAGATAAGAGATTACACAATGAAAGATTCTGATATTATACCCTTTAACAGTAAAATGGCATTCCTGGATACCTGGCAGTGTCATAGTTCGTGAAAGGCTGGCATCAAACTTGAAAATTTGTCTAAGTTTCTCACGTCAGCCAAATGAGGCAAAGCTGTTGTAATCTCTTGTCCAAGTTTCTCTTTAACAGTTCACTCATCCCTTCTCCAAGGACAGTTCTAAATTCCTTTGGACTTCTCTACTTTACGTGTTTCGTGAGAGTCCATCACATTTTTGTGGGGCAGTACAAAAATATCTTTCTCTTTCTGTTTCTTCCTCCTGTTTCTTCTATGTCCTACAGACTAATTGTTGCTCTCATCCCTCCTCCCTGTACCAGGCAAGGTTCTTGACATTTTTTGAAATATATCTCAACCGTTCCTGGTTGTCATCACCTGATGCCTCCCTGTCTTCTCTCTTCTCTTCTCCCTTCTCCACTCCCACCTCCATGGCATGCTTGCTTGCCTGTCAATTTTCCATCTTCACCCCCTGACCCCCATTTTCTCACTTGTCATTATCCTCATCCAGTGCCACTCTTTCAAAGTGTAGATGGAGTCTCTGGCCTTCAGGTGCTTCCACCAACCAACGGCAGGTCAGGTTCCGACCACGTGGTCCTCCTGGGGCCTCCGGAGCCACAATGCGTCCACGAGTGGCATTGTGAACTGTTCCTCCACAAGAAGCTAAGGGGAGGAAGGCCAGATGTTCTTTACAAGACCCATTTTCCCCTAGCATTCTTCGAATCCAGAATCTTGCTTAACATTTCATGCATCCTTAGAAAGGTCCTTCAGATCTCATTTGGGTAGGAGAAACTAAGTTTTACCCAGGGTAATATCCTGAATCCCTGGCTAAGCCTAACTCCTGACACTTCCCGGGTTCCTTAGTTCAACATTGCCTTTCGGAGTTCAAAGCCACCTTACAAAAAAAAAAAATCACCAAATATCATTAAGATTCTCATTCTTTGCAAATACATTTTGGGCTATTATGTTTATCATTCTTAGCCAAGATACATTTTCATGTGATTGGTGAAGAATATAAAAGTCATAGTTTTACCTTAACATGAATGTCTTGGATTGACTAGGATTTTGTAGATATTCTGGAAAATTTAAATTTAAACCCCAAAGATCCTGGATCTATAATTTGGACTTTTTAAAGGAGCATTTGCAATTGTTCAAGGAGTCCAAACTTATAGGAAAAATTGAACATTATTGAAAGACCTATTATGCCGAGTATTATTCTTCAAACTGAGGCCAGTTAGATACTCTTAGAAAATCACTCGAAGAATATTACTGTGTAAAGCCTTGGGTGTTTGCCCAGAATGTCTGGCAATCAGAGGGATAATACCTCTAAATATAAAGCTTCCATTCTAATGATAAAATAGCTATTGAGGCTTTCTCAGCTGTTAATTTGACTAATTTTATGTCTTTCTAAAGCTATTGAGTTACTATCATCCCTGCACCTTGTGACAATAAATTATGCATTCTGCAAAGAAACATTTTCATTCTGAACATATTGGCAATCCGTTCATTGTGTAACTGCCTGGTTTTAACATTTAGAGGAAAAAGTGTTATTTGCCTTGTTCTTGCATCATTCATAACCATATAAATCTTGACAGTTTAACTCCAGAGAATGGAGGAAACAAAATTCATCTGTTGATAATATAAATGGCAAAAGAAACTAAAATGATTTTATTTTTTTCAGTAGCAAACTCTTAAATCAGTCCCCTGCTGGGCCAAAATATTCTTAGCCTCCAAATGGTCATTCAGTATTTGAGACAGACAGATAAATGGACAAATGGATAAATGGATCAGATGGATAAATGTCTTTGGAGAATCTTAGTCATCCAGGTCATGGTTGTCCCAAAGATGCTTTTTTCAAGAGTCAACTGGATTTTCTGGTTTATCTTTAAAGCTGTTTCACTTCTCATCCAAGAAGCTTCTTGAGAGAAACGTCTTCAAAGAAAAACCAGAAAGTCCAGTTGCCTCTTGAAAAAAGCATCTTTGGGACAGCCAGATGGATATTTTTGATTAATGGAAAGCTCATCCATTAAATATATATATCCCCATTTAACTGGGCCATTGGTATCCGTGGGTTAAAAAAACATGCCAAAAAAAAATAAATACATTGTCATACAATGAAGGAAGAAAATGTTCTCGAAAAAATGTTCTGCCCCTGGGACTCAAAAAGCTTTAAAATGCTCTCCCTTTTGTCCATTACTACTCCAATCTTTTGACAAGGCTGCATTTTCTTGTTCCTTTTATTCCTTCACTCACCCACACACGCAGGGCTGGTGCCACTCCACCGAGGGCGGCTGACGTTGAGGCAAATGAGTATCTCTTCACCCTTCAACTGGAAGCCTGACTCACATTTGAAAGTGGCAGAGCCCCCCGGATGGAGATCAGTTACCATGACATCCCCGTTTTCTGGCCTACTGGGGAAGCCACAGCTGAGCAGAAAAGCTGGGGTTGGAAGATAGGGAGGTTATAGACAGGGAAACATAACAGGTAATTATGCTCACAAAGTGCCTTCAACAAATGGTATGCATTCATAAAGGAACATGCTCAATTCTGCCAGTACTTGATAAATATTTGTATGCCTAGACGACAGTTTATAGGTTTTTGTTCATTTTTGGTACGCTCACTGCCTCAAATTGTCTTTTTAACACACAAAATACACACTGAATTTGTACCATAGGATGTGATGGACCTGAAGAAATCCTCACCTATTCTGAATTCCATTGGGTGTATATATTCTTAATTTGTAAATGGGTTTATTGGCTTTTTCTTTTTTCTTTAGTGAGGTATGGTTTCATCTGATTTGGATTTACAGGAAGGGTTTTCTTTCACTCTTATGTAAATTAGTCAAGCTGTAAGGCAGATAAACCCTTGTTAAACCCGCTGCTATCATCCTCAAGAGATTTCTTTCCAGTGCTTCTGGGATTAGAACACACTTAAGGAAAAGAGCTTCTGGTAAATCATATTATATGTCTCATTTGTTTTTAGGGGCCTCCCACCCTATATCATGCAGCATCTTGAATTTAGAGAAATGTGCATGCAGTTGGATAGAACTACGCTGAGGCAAACCAATTTATCCTAATAATACATGAAATATGTATAGTATAGACATCGTGATATCATAATGTCCACTTTTGTTCTAAAAAAGCCCTGTGAAAATAATGCTTTTGCCAGGTCTGGCTTTGCGACACAGGTGCTAGAATAGCCTAAAACCTTAGCACAAGCCAGAAAAAAATAATTATAATCCTCTGTCTCATTGTTTTTTTGGTCCTCAGGTATTGGGAAAATCTCCCACTGTTCAAAGGGATGAGAAATTCCTCCTTATCCTATCTAGATATGGAACTACACTTCTTATACGTCTATGGAGATTCTCAGTCATCCAAGTCATGGTTGTCCCAAAGGTACTTTTTCAAGAGGGAACTGGACTTTCTGGGTTTTTTTCTTTCTTTGAAGAAGACAGTTTGCTTCTCACCCAAGAAGGTTCTTCAGTTCTGATGTCTGAGGACAGAACTGAAGAAGCTTCTTGGACAGAAGTGAAACATCTTCATGGAAAAACAAAGAAAGTCCAGTTGTCTCTTGAAAAAGCACCTTTGGGATACGTTTCCCATAATATGCAGTCTAGGCACCCATAATCAGCCTGGAAGGCTTTGAGTAGGAATTTCAACCACTTGAAGAGGACTAAGCATGGAAAGTCCTTTAAAAGAAGGTGGAATGAGGAGGTATTCATGCCTTACCCTGGTAATGGAATCTGAAGACACCAGGGGTGGTGGTGTGGTAGCTCTGGAAATGAATCAGGACTTGATTGGTTGGGCTACGGATCACTTGCCCCTCAACCATCAATGACTCATTGGCCAAGACAACAGGCTTCTCCCCTCCCAGGCCTTCCACTGTCAGTGAATCCTCCTTGGACAAGTTCAGATTCTGCACCTGGAAGTCATGGAAGTTGACAAAGGGAGGGAGAAGGTTAAGAAGATGGCCACACCTTTTTAAGCTTCATGCATTTTTAATGTTGTTCAAGAATCTAAAGTGAAGAGCAAATATTATCAGGAAAACTATTGGGGCAAGGAGGGGGCAAGGAGAAGCCAATCTGCAAAACAGGATTTGAGACCAATATTCATCTAATGGACATGGCTGGACATGCTTTAGAAATGTTTCCAAAGTCCTTTGGTTCTTGAACATCCACAATACCACTTTGGTGTTTCTTAAGGCAGCTTTAAGCCTTTAAGCTTTGATGGAAGCCTGGAAAAAAAAGATGCTGATGCTTTTAAAGAATCAATTCCCTAAAATGAATGCAACTCTGAAAGCAACAGCATCTTTTTTTAATAGCCTGGGAAAGAAGCCTGAAACAGACAGCTTTCCCAAACATCAGGGAAGTGCTGTGCTTCTGCTTTCAAAGCATACCAAAGCAAACACCACTAAAGCATGCAGGTAGTCCTCGACTTACAATCACAATTGGGGTCAGAATTTCAAGGTGGTTGTTAAGTGAGCCACACTCAGTTTTATGACTTTTTTTTGCTATGGTTGTTAAGTGAAGCACTGCATGTGGTTGCTAAGCAAATCTAGCTTCCCCATTGACTCTGCTTGTCAGAGGTCATCTGGGAAGCTTGCAAATGGCAATTACTATGACCCCAGGACACTACAATAGTTGTAAATACATTTGGGTTTCTAAGCACCCAAATTGTGGTCATGTGACCATGGGGATGCTGCAATGGTCCTAAGGGTAAGGACCATTTTTAAGTCACTTTTTTTCACTGCCTTTGTAACTTTGAACGGTCACTATCAAACAGTTGTAAATCAAGGACTACCTGTTACTGATTCTTTGTCAACTTCCAAACACTTTGGGAAAAAAAAAGATTAATCCACATGACATTTTAGGCTTAGAATAACTTTATTGTCATTTCGAATGGACACTAATCGGCACACATTAAAAGGAAATTTCGTTGCATACATTTCCCAATGTCAGGCATGCCATAGTTTTAACTTCTTCAGTGTTGACCAATTCGTATCACCTTACCTGTACTTCTATCCCGTAGCCCATATACACTGAAATCGTGTAAGTACAATCCAGGCCTCCGTAAAAGGTGGTGCCAGCATAATCGGGAGATTCAACGTAGCCTTCTATGTCAGTGATGTTGTTGTTGCAAAGGACTTGGGGAAAGAGGCAGGAAAGGAGACAAAGGAGACTGAAGTCAGTTGAGTCCCAGATGGTCTGTATTTTTTTCAACCAAGTTCAGCCTACCACTATTTGGTGACTCCATATAGGTCATCCAAACTTTTTGGACTGGGGAATGATAAAGGTAAAGGTAATGGTTCCCTGATGCCCAGCCGTGTCTGAGTCTAGGGGGTGGTGCTCATCTCCATTTCTTAGCCAAGGGAGACAGCTGTCAACCCTGAAGCTGACAGCTAACTGTGGCCATTTTCTTTTCTGTAGCTTTCCTCTAAGGAGGTTTCTTTTCACATTGCTTCAGGGTTGACACAGCGACCAGGAAGTGGGGGCGGGGTGTAGAGATACTTGTGGTGTTGTAGCTAAAATAAAATCTTTCCCCTAGGAATCAAGGACGTTCGTGCAGGTGTTCGAAAGGTGGAGACTAAAGTCCCCTAGCAACGGGACTATATATTGATTGGACCATGTGACTGGAGACTCTGGGGGGGAAGTGACCAAGTTTTACTTTGGGTGTAAACCAGCGGGAACTAAGAGCCGGTTTTCCACCAAGTCTGTCATGCCTCTGGTGGAGACTGACTCTGAGGGAGAGGAGGAACAGCCAACAGAGAGTGGAAGGGTGGCTCCGGAGGTTGTGGAGGAGGCTGGGAAAGGGCAGAGGCCAGTTGGGCAGTCAGAGGAGGACCCAGGCCCATCCCCTCTCCATCCTAGGGCACGCAGGGAGGAGAGGATAAGGGAGACGTGGTCTACTAGGAAGGAGACGGCCTTGATCCTCTTCATGGGCTGCAGCTGTGACAACTGGATAAGAGGATAGACATGCATACAGACGAGTGCTGGAAACAAAGTGTGGAAATATCTCTAGTTTATTGTTCCTCTCTGAGTTTGGCGTCCTTCCCAGTATGTGTCCTGATATCTGTGGACATCTTCAAGCCCTTATCTTGCCTGGTTTGTGTTGTTTTTTACTCTTTATAATTTAAACGGCATTTCCTCCTTTTTATAACTGCTTGTGTGGGAATTTTTTGTCTCCAGTCAAGGATATTTGGAGCTTGGAAGCAAAATGAAGGAATAAAACCTGTTTTTTGTGACTGTGTTTATTTTGTATCCCACAAAGTCTGTGCCAATTTGATATGTCACAATAAAATGTTTTTTGAGAAATATGCCTGCCTCTGAATTCTCATTGTTGGGGATGAACCTTGACATTAGCATTGCCTGAAGACACTTCAGTGGTCATGTGGTCATTTGACTATAGGCAGAGGCACATGAAATGCTGTTACCTTCCCAGTGAAGTGGTGCCTTTTTATCTACTCACATTTTCATGCTTTTGAACTGCTAGATAGGCAGGAGCTGGTGTAAGTAAAGGGAGAACCTCAGGTTGGGGAAGGATTACGCCCATGTCCAAAACCTTTGCATCTCACTCATGTTGCTTACCAGGAGTGTGAACAGTTGTGATAGTCGTCGTAGTAATTAGGGTGGTCGTCGTCTCTTCGTCACCTTCGGGGATGAAGGTGGTGGTGGTGGTGGCCGAGATAGGGTGCTTGGCAGAACCAACCTCGTCGGGTGGAGGGGGCAATCGGGGCGGAGCGGCCGCTGTTGGTGCTGGAGGGGTGGTGAGTAGGAAGCCAGTGGGAGGGGCAGCAGTGGTCAATGGGGAGGGGCCAGTGGCTGTGGCTTCGGAGGTCTCAAGGACCATCCCATCATCTAGACGCTGGATGGGCGGATGGAATGGGGGCAGAGTGGAAGACTGTCCTCCTAAGACGACGGGGAAGACAGTTAAAAAGAAAGGGTGCAGGGAAGTCAGAACAGAGGAGGGAAAACACTGCAACCCTCTCATATTCCTCCCCACCCAAATGTCCTCTCTGCTGTTTTTCTGGCAGAAAAAAACACAATTGTGCAATTATGGAACTATCCATTAATCCATTTTTTAAAAGTACGGTGCCAGATTTTATGATTCACAGTGGTGTTTCCCCTTATAATAGGCCCACAACCCCCCTCCAAGAATTACCCCCCCGACCCTCCGTTTTTCTTCAACCAAAGCCACCCATTTCTCTACATCTTCTAGTCCCTTCCCAGGCAGAGGCCTTCCCCTTCCTCAAATTCTTTGCCTTTTCTCACCAGGAATTGGCTCTTCCACCACCTCGCCCCCGGGAAACTCCTTTTTCAGCAATGTCCCCTGCAGCAATTCAGAGAGGCCTTCGGGACTTGGGGGTGAGGATCCCCGCACCTCCGCCAAGACCGGCATTTCTTCCTCCTTGGGTGCTTCCATGGCCTCTGAGGAGAGGCCCTCCAACAGCGGGGAGGGGGTGGCCTCCTCATTTTCCCAGAGAGGTAGGCCTGCAGGAGACAAAGGGTTAACTGTGGCCTGTCTTCCACATTCTTCTCACACTGGCCTCATAAAGTCCAGAGAGAATAAGATGCCACTACAAATTGTAAATTTTCTAAATTTAGCAAGGCTGCGCAGCTTCCCACCGTTTTTTTCTGGGACTGGCCTTTCTGGGCTGCAATATTCCAGACCGCCACAGATGGTAGCAAAGAGCTACAGAAATCTAAGAATGTGTGTGACCTTCTGTGACCACGGTCTATGGACTGCATGTAGTCTTGGGCAGCTACTAACGCAGCCCAATAAGATCATAAACTTTTAACATTTATGTGATTTAAATACATTAACTATACTATGTATATTACATATGCAGCCAAGACAACAACTCTTCATTCAATGTTGTAGTTTTTTTGTGGCCTAGATATGGCAGTCCTAATTTTTCTGTACAAATTTTTGCTTTGTGAGATAGGTTGGAGGGGGGGGAGAGAGAGAGAGAGAGAGAGAGAGAGAGAGAGAGAGGCAAACAAATCACTTAAGGAGTTTCTATAGCAACAGAAAGGCCTACATGTTGGTTGTTTATTTGTGCTTTACAGCTTAATGTCCATTCAGGCCTGTAATCTTGGCCTGCCTTTCTTACACATCGGTCCAATTCTGCACAACTGCAGTTAGTCCTTGACTTACAACCACAATTGAGCCCAAAATTTCCATAGTTAAGCAAGATAGTTGTTAAGTGAATTTTGTCCCATTTTATGATTTTTCTTGCCACAGTTGTTAAGTGAATCACTGCAGTTGTTAAGTTAGTAACACGGCTGCTAAGTGAATCTGGCCTCCCCATTGACTTTGCTTGTCAGAAGGTCGCAAAAGCGGATCATGTGACCCCGGGACACTGCGACCATTGTAAATATCATCCAGTTTGCAGAGTGTCTGAATTTTGATCTTGTGATCATGGAGATGCGGCAACAGTTTGGGGACCCCTGTTTTAGACTAACCATTTATAGACAGTCTTGACTTGTCATTCATTTAGTGACCATTCAAAATTGTGACAGCTGAAAAAAGTGACAGCTGGTCCTCACACTTAAGCATCCCTGTGGTCACAGGATAATGATTTTGGGCGCTTGGCAACCAACATGTATTTTCAAAGGGTGACCTTCCCAACTGGCTTCTGACAAGCAAAGTTAACAGGGGAAGCCAAATTCATTTAATTACTATGTGGTTCATTTAACAGTTAGGTTATTTGCTTAACAATCATAGCAACAAAGGTCATAAAACTGGGCATGACTCACTTAACAACCTGATTGTTTGTGACAAAAATTCCAATTGTGGTTATAAGTCGAGGACTACTTTATAATGCTATGTGTCTTGCAGCAGCTCCTAAATGTCCTCTGGGTCTTCTTGGCTTATTTTGTATATTTTTTAAAGATGAAATTATACAGGAAAACGATGCAGTGTTTGTATACTGATCACTGGCTAGGCTAGTTCTTCTAACCACATTCAGGCCTTCTTTTTTGCACTATGAACACTTTCACTGTTATTTTAGAATCCCCCCCCCATCCCCCCATGCTGGCTGAAGTATTCTGGGAATTGAAGTCCACACTTCTTAAAATGGCTAACATTGGGAAAGGTTTTAGAGGGCAGGGTTCTTTCAAGATAGAGTTTATAAACTGAATCGAAAGCACTCCTTGCATTACAACAGGAGAATTTCTTTTTCCAAATAGATATAATCTGTTTTCCCAGGCAAATAGTTGACATAGAAGTAAGAATCAGAAACAATTCTACAAACTCAAATTTTCTAAGTTAAAATCCTGAACATGGGATACTAGTCCCTAAAAATGTGGCATATACCTTCACCATCATCATCTTACCTTATTTTGCATGTTTCTTTGGCCAAATTAATTGAAATAAACAGTAACGTTTACAAACTTAAATGCCGTTTGAAAATGTCGACTTCCCAGAGTACAGTACTTTGAATTGCAGTTTAATCACATTTTTATTGACGATTATAATTGGGGATAATAAAAAATGTAAAATATAATTTCACACATATATAATTAGTGGATATATCCTCATAATTCAAAGTGATCTGCACGTTGTCCTCAAGAAGCAACTTAAGCTATTCCATGAACATAAAAAAGACAAATTCATTTGATAACTTATTATTTAAAGAGAGGGAGATAGAAAAATTCTTCTTTATCCAGGCCAGTTTAATAAGTAATTAGATGGTGAAAGAGTACAAAATAGAAATGGTTTGTTAAGACTCGGGCAATATAAAGAACTGGTGATTAAAGTGAATTAAGTTGGAATGATTTGTCTAAAATCGTGTGGTCTTCTCAGCAAACTGGATAGCTCCCTTGTGAAAAGGGGCAAATAATTTGTAGCTATGTCTTGAGGGGAAATCAGGTAGCTCCGATACCCACTGGAGACCGATACCCACTGGAGAGTGTGTAATAGTGATCTTCTGAATGCTGCCTCCCTTCTTTCTTGCTGCAGAAAGCTGCGTCATTTAGCGTCACATTTATACATTAAACTTTGCTTGATGCTGAATAAATAGAAGGGAACAAGGAGGTTAGCAAAGCTTATGGCTAGGAGGTAGGCTGCTGCTGGAAGGGTAATAGCCAATTTGAAGAGGCCATTCCTGCTTGGAAGAGCAGAGAAGCCTGCAGACCCGATCAGAGACCTGAAAGGCCTCAAATGATGAGTGCCGCACATCACTTGTGTTGCCTGAATATGACAAGTTCAGGACTGACAGCTGTAGCCGCTGGAGGCAACTGCCAGCATGTGGGATCTGGGCAGCTTCTGACAAACCATTAATTGCTCTGAGCTCTCTCTATTAAGAAGGCCAGCTGCCTCACAGGCTTGGGTGCCCTGTGCATTTGCTATTCCCTCAGTCAAATGGCTGGTGCTCTGAGGAGTGGAAAGACCAGACTTGCTGGTTCCCATGGGAAAGGGGTTTCCCCACCTTTGTTTGCTCAACTGGTCGAAATCCAGTGGTGATGCCACTGGAGAGGGCAAAGCTTCTAATAGAAAGTTCTGTGAGATGACATCTTGCTGGGATTTCATTTCCCATGTTCAGCAAATTCCGGGTGCTGTATCTCAACCTCTCCCATCCCAAGTCAACAAGGGTGATGGTGATGGTAGTGAAGAATACACTCTTAACTGCAGTCCAGAAAAAAACAAAACCTTGTGTCCTCACATCTAACTGGAAAATATATGCCTCTTTTGGCCTCAAGAATGACATCCCTATCCCTCTGTTGGAAGAAATATCCTTCTGGGTTCAGTTTCAAGTGGGGAAAAAGACACTGGAAACATGGAGGCTGTTTGGAAAGATGGTTTAATGGTGGAGTGCTAACTTCCTGCACCTCCTTCTTGGTTTCCTAGGCCTAACTGCTTCTTCCTCTCCTCCTCCCCCCATTTTTGTGCCCCACAAAACTCCAGCTTCTGAGACCTTCTTCCCTATCACCATCCTTATGAATGGTCTGCCAGGGTGACTCCCTGTTGCATCAGGGTTCACCTTAATCTATCCAGCAAATTTGAACTTCTTATCCTTCACTGAATTTGCAGAGCTACAGGAGTGCCAACCTCCTGTTTAGGAAATGCGTTGCCTAACAGCTCACCCTTTTGCATGATTTCATAATGCTCCCCCCCCCCCTCCGGCTCTTTAAGTCTTTGCCAATTATACTTGCTATCCCTCTGAGTGATCCTTTATTGGGGCACCCTCGTTTTGACCTGAACTCTGCTTTTTCAGTTTAGCAATGCATGAATATTGAATTTGTTTTTCTTGGCAGCATTACATGCAAAACCCCAGGGATTTTTTTTTCCTCAGTGGGGGAAGATTGTTCTTTGCCTAGTTCAATTTATTCACATCTCATTCCACTCCGTTTCTTGGGCCCTTGTGTTCAAAAATTCAGATCAGCTTTCAAACCTAACTATCAAATCTTCAGTCATATCTGCGACTTCCCATCAAGGGTCAGCCTCAAATTTCTGCCTCACTTGCAACCTTTTGACAACCCTCCCTTTATAGATAATCACTTCCCTTAAAATCACTGCCACCCTTTATAATGCCTCAAAGATATAGGATAAGGTAAAGTGAAGATGATTCCAAATCCCTCTCCCTAGCGGATTTTACAGCTTTTTAAACAGAATTCCTGTCCATTTTCCAGAGCACCCCAAATTACATCCTCCATGCTATTCACTATGATCTTCATCAGATTTCTAGGTTCTGCTTACTACAATCCCCCCTCTTCCCCCCGTCCACAATTTTCACCTTAGGAGATATCACAGACCATCAAATAACAACTCCCTTCTTTTATCCCCTTCCAGCTATCATTTCCCCACAGTTGTGTAAAAATGTGTGCATCCCTAAACAATGAAAACAAATCCTTTTTTTTTTTTTTTGGTCCATGTCAAGATGTATTTTCAAATAGGCTCCCCTTGCCTACAACACCATCTTTACAACATGCCCACCTGCCATTTGCGCTGGGGAAGGGCGAGGGGGGAAGAGCTGGTAGTGATGAAGATGGATTTTTCAACCCCCCTTTTCTTTAATACAAAAGATGGTTAAATTGAAATAAGCCCCTTCCGTTTGGGTTGCCGGCTCACCCCCTCCCCAGCTCTTGTGTTGAAAAGCTTCCCGCTTACCTTGTAGAAGAGACAGGGAGCAAAGCAGCAGCAGCAGAAGAGGCATGTTGAGTCCTGCTTTTTCCAAACAGCGCATTTTGGATTTCTTCAGACCTGCAGAATACCTAGTCTGGCTATTTCCTTCTCCTGCCAGGCAAGGGAGCCGTGGAGCTAGGAGCCTGCTTAGCAAATGAAAATGCAGTAGCTTCTTTGCAAGGGCTAGTTCTGTAGGATTTTTCTCTTTTGCCTTTCCAAAGCAACCTAGGCTTTTTCTATTTGTGTTTTGGAAATGTGCCTTTCCTGCAGTCTGCTCCTGCTTGCTGCATAACTGATTAACTGTGTTATCTGGACCTCCTCTTCCCTTTTTCACTTATACAAGGAGAAATGCAGGGGACTGCTTCCTTTCGGTGAAATTATTTTTGAGAGCAGGCATGGTGTCAAGCCTCTTTCACCCAGAACCCCTCTTTTTCTCTCATGTCTCACATTCACCCAACTGAATGGAGAAACGGGGAGGTCAAAATGAATTTCTTTGCGTAAAAAAAGGCATCGGATCCTTCTTTCTCCACCACCTACATGCCTGTCTGGAAAGTCACCTATAGATATATTGCCATCGCCATATGGTTTCTCTTCCCTGTTCCTTCCTTTATGTTACCAAACCAGGAAAAACTTGAATAAAAATAGAAGGATATCATGGACAGTTCTTTTTTAAAAATGTAAAACCTTCAGTGTTTTGGCAAGGCAAGTCTCTCTCTCTCTCTCCCCCATTCCCCTTCTGTCCTTGACAATGAAACACAATGTGTATTTGCAGTTGCAACTATAGAGACGGGGGAATATAAATCCACACCCCCATCCTAGCAGATGCCCATAACTATAGGTTGAAAGCGCAATATGGAAAATAATGTTTTTTTTAAAATGAGGAACATAATATTACAGTCTGTTCCTATTAAAAAAAAATACAAGCCAATTTGCCAAACCAATATATAAATAAATCAACTTTTCTAGATAATACAGGAAAATTGTTCAAGACCTATTCTCTTACAGAAAATAAATTATCTGTGGAGGAAAACAGATGCAAACTTTATTAGCGATGTTGCAAATCTTATTTAATGATTTGTAGCCTCACTTCCCACAAGAATTCTGAAAGTAAGTTATGCATTTTGTTACAAAAATACACCAATGATATGTTGGCAATTCCTTGTAAGGAAGCAGAGACGAGTAAAACATGACAGAAAGAAGTACAGCAAGAAACTATCAAATATTTATGTTGCCATTTGGGGGGAATTCAAGGCAGTCATCTAGGCAGAATCTCTGACTTTATTTGAGCTTACACATTTCTCAGTGTAGGTTTGGGTTGTGTGTGTGTGTGTGTGTGTGTGTGTGTGTGAACTTTCATACCCTCCTAGTTTACTAGTTTACACAGGCCCTAGCATTTTTAAGGCAATATTTAGCATCTCACACAAATGTTGTGTTTATTATTAAAATGTTCCCATATTGTGCCACATTCTTTTATTTTTCTCTTGCCTTCCTCAACATCCATCTTAGAATTGCTCTTGTTTCTTCCTCTCTCTGCACCAACATTATCCTCCAACTTCCCACTTCCCATCTCGGCTGGCTCCTTCATCCCTCACACTCCAAGGTTTTGCTTCCCCACTATAACTCTCCTATAAAAACCACCACCAACACAACCATCACCAGCCCCCTCCCCTCCTGAGCCTTTTTGTCTGAGGCTGCAGAAGCCAGGCACACAATAATCAAGATGAAAAATGCATTTTTGAAATTAGGGAGGGATAGATGTAGAGAGATTAGATAGATAGATGTAGAGAGGGAGAGATTGTAGAGGTGGGGACATGATCGCTCTTCGGGGGTGGGGGGTGGCAGAAAAATGATCCTCCCCTCTTTTGCGGCTTCAACTTAATCTCCCTTCACAAAGGTTACTATGAAAGTTGCTATGGGAGGACGGTTGCTAAGGAGACATTGTGGTTGCCAGGCAGTTGCTAGGATATAGGTACCAGGAGCTGCTAAGGAAGATGCTAAGGATGGTTCTCAGGAATGTTCCAATTAGCAGCAACCATTGGTGTGCAGCTTAAAGACTTATTTTAGAAATGCAACTAATGCAACAATCGGCTGCAGCCTAAAATGCACATGGGGTGGGTGGTGGGTGGGAAGGAGAGTGGAAAGATGGCTGCGCTGCAGGCAGGGGTTGCCTCCAATGTGCCTGAGCCTATGCTGCAGTTAGAGGAGGAGGAGGGGCCCTAGTCTAAAGCAGGCCTAGCTGGCAACTTACCTTTTGTAGCCCTCAACAATTCATCATTCAATCCTACCGCCCACCCCCCAGCCCTAGAAATGATTGCTTACTGATGAGATCAATCACTCAGGGTGACCATATGTTGATACAGGGGGTTCCGGGCTGTGGTTGGGGTGGCTGTTTATGCAGCGAAGCTTCGGCTTGCAGCTGATACGAGGAAGGAGAGGAAGACGTCAAAGGGAGGGATGGCAGATTAGAGCAGCGGGGGGGGGGGGCGCAAGGAGGGGGAGGGGGAAGCTCTAATCTTTTCCGGATGCCTCTGGTAGTCTATGTGCATGAACAGAAATTACTGTTGACAATATTGGCAACGGAAGAGTTCAGCCAGGAGGAATATAGAAAGACACAGGGAAGAGAGTGATAAAGGCATTTGGGGGAGAGACAGAGAAGGCAAGAATATTAGAAGATGGAATGACTGGGAAATGGACAAATGAACAGGTAGAGATTTTTAAAAAGGGGAGGGGAAACACATCTGTCTGGGGACATCTGTCTGGGGAAGATGTCATTTGTCTTGCAATAAATGGAGGACACCAGCAGAGAAGGTGACTAGTGAGGACTGAGTATGAACAGACGGGAAATTACAGCAGTGGAGGCAGATGAGAGGAGATAGGCAGAATTGATAAGGCAGAATGAGAAGCAGTTTGGAAGAAGAGGATATAGCGACAGAGGGAGAGAAGAATTGGGAGGGTGTGCGGGACAGAAGTGGTGAAAATGATTGATAGACGGCTCAGAAATTAGGCATCCGTTTAAAGAACAGATTCATGCAGCAGCTGGGTGAAATATTAAATGAGCAGGAAGAAATAGAAAACGAGGGTTGAAAGGGCACCCTATGAATTGGCCTGGGCAATTCAGAATGGCTGGGCAGGCCAGCGGGATTGCATGAGATGCTCTAACTTTGCCTGAAGATGCCCAGCATCATGGCTAATTGGGGTCTCCGTGGCCTTTTCTCCCCGCTCCTCCCTGACCCCTCTACATGGCACTCTCGACCAGAGCCAGCCATAGCTCTGCTAGGTTCTCTAGCCCTCTTGTTCATCTGGTACTGCTATCGTGTGGGGACAGGGCAGGTAGCCCCTGCAACTCATCCGCAAGGTGTGCCAACCGAAGAAGGATGCCCTCGCCGTACCCTCAGGGGCGATGCTATCAATCAGCGCCTCTATCGCAGCCTGCGAGATTACGCCAAGCGCTATTCATGGTCAGGTATGAACCGGCTGCACAAAGGTATCCGGGACCAGGCCCATTACCAGCTGGGTGAACGGATGGCCATCCAGAAGCCCAGCGCTTTCTACCTCCCCGACTTGCCTTCGGCCCCCTATTTTCCCCGCGAGTCTCAGCGTCACGATGTGGAGATTCTTGAACTCAGTTTCCCAGCCATCCTGCGGGAATTTGAGGGCATTGCAAGGGACTTTGAACCAGGAGCCCCAGTGCCACGGGGATGGATCGTCAACGCCAACCCTGGCTGGCACAGTTATTACCTCTACCGACAGGGGGAGTGCATAGCACAGAATTGTCGCAGCTGCCCATGGACGTATCGGGCACTCAGCGCACTACGCACCTTTATCAACGCCAATTGCTTTGGAAATGCCTGCTTTAATGTCTTGCAGCCTGGAACTGTGATACCTGGCACCTATGGACCAACGAACACCAGGGTACGGTGTCATTTAGGTGAGCAAACACTGGAGGAGCAATGAATGGGGCAGTATCTACTTGGTGGGGAAGGGGCTCCAGTATCTGAAAACCTGTATTGCCAGCATCTCATTTCAGTGTAATACACGCTGTGTAGTTACTGAAGTCTTTTTTTCCCTAAATAGGAGCTGTTTATAAGCCTGGTTTATTATTATTAGTCTATTTTATTAACTATGCTATTTATATTTAGAAGCAGCCAAACAAGCAGATTGGAATAATTGTTCTGAACTGCAGCACTGCTTCAGATGAACCTGCTCCACAAACTATAAACAAATCTTATTTTTTAGAAAATCTGCAGGTGACAAGTGGCATTTCCAAAGAGGCATTCTTTGTAGGATGCCTCTTCTGGGAAGGTGCTATGAGAAACATGCATCATTGGCCAACACTTTGATTCACAGTGCAAGTATGATGGGTAGGTAGCACAAGGAGCATCAAATAAACTCTTTTTACCTCTTTTTATTTACAACATTTATATAAGCCCCCACCCCCGGTCTTGTAACCAACTTTGGGTGGCTCCTAATCAAAAGTTTTCTGAAAGTTTAAAATTTTTCGGGAGCTCACAATATAATCTCAGGCATTTGATCTCAAGTGAAGGCAGGAAGATATGAACAGGGTTTTTCAGAAACCATTTTTTTGTTGTTGTTGTGTAGATCTTTTCCTGATCTCCAATTATCTTCTGTGGCCCCAAAAATGCTTTTTCCAGAAGGCAACTGAACAGTTCTACCTGTTAGAACTGAAGAAGTTTCATAGATGAAAAGCTAAATGTTTTTAAAGAACAAAAAACAAACAAACAAGTAAGTCCAGTTGCCTTCTGGAGAAAGCAGGTTTGGGACAACCGTGACCTGGATGATTGAGAATATCCACAGACAATGATCTTCTGTAATTTCTATATTCCTCCTATGACTGTTGTTTGCAAGACAGTTTACTTTCTGCTGAAGCAAGAAGAAGGTCCCCAGGTTGTGACCACAATTCTGCATGGGGTGATAAAAATTCTATATGCAAATGGGGGCCCCATTCTTGGTTTTGCAAATGACAGCTTCTCTTTTTCCCCAGCATAGGAAGTTGTTTCCGTAATTAGTACTTTAAATCAGCGTGTTTCTGTTCTCTCTCTT